CCTTCTGCCTCTCCTCTCTGCTTGCCCCCCAGCTCCCATCCCCACCCCATCTTTCCATGTGCCCCCCACAGCCATCCCCAAATCTGGCAGCTTGGACCACCCCGACCAGCCAATCCAATGTCACCCAGCTGGTCGCCCTGACAACATACTGGCCAATCAGTGGGCTGCTCCCTTGGCCCAATGACAAGCAAGCTGGCAGCAGGGGCGGCATGGCATTGGCCTCCCCGGGTGCTGATGTGGCCTGTTGCTGTGGCAACAGCTATTGCTGTCCAGTTGCTAGAGGGCCGTCATGGCAACAGGCAGGCAGAGGCATCCTCCAGCTGGAAACTCCCCCCCTCATTGTGATGCAGGGAATAGGGGTGGGCATGTGGGTAGCCCCTCCACTTTGCAACCGTCTACCCCCCAATCGAGCCGGGGGTTTATGAGACAGAGACGAAGGACAGCACCATGCGTCCGTGTCTGTGTGTATGAGAGAGAGAATTCTCTTACATTCAAGTTCCCAAAATACCCCCACAACATCTCCCCGCACAAAGACACCTGCAACTCAACTGCACCTCCCCAACACACACGACACTCTGTGTCGCTCCAAAGCTTGTCTCTCTTACCAAGAGAAGTTGGTCTAATAAAGGATATTTCCTCACTCACCTTATCTCACTACACACCCCAACACACATACACAGCTGAAACACAAATACACCTGACCCCTGCTCCCCAACACACATCCAAATCTCTGAAACACAAATACATCCCCCCAGACAGACACAAATACCTGAAACAGACACCCCCAACGCAAATGTGCACAAATGCCTGCACCTGACATAGACAAACCCACACCCCCGAAACACACAGACACAAACAATAGAACAACTAGAACTGGAAGGGACCTTGAGAGGTCATCAAGTCCAGTCAAATCCCCTGCCCTCATCCAGGACCAAGCACCGTCTAGACCATGGGTTCCTAAACTGGGGGGCGTGCCCCCCTGGGGGGGGTGAAGAAATTTCAGAGGGGGCGCAAGGCGACCCATCCTCCCTCCCCTCAAGTTTTGCTGCCCTGTTCAGTTCCTTTTTTCCTTTTTTTTTTTTTTTTTTGGCTCAACAAGTTTTGCTGCTATTTGGAGGAGGGCGGGAGGGTTTTTCAAAAATCAAAAAGGGGGGCGTGATGCCAAAAAGTTTGGGAACCACTGGTCTAGACCATCCCTGACAGGTATCCAACCTGCTCTTAAATATCTCCAGTGATGGAGATTCCACAACCTCTCTAGGCAACTTATTCCAGTGCTTAACCACCCTGACAGGAAGTTTTTCCTAATGTCCAACCTAAACCTCCCTTGCTGCAATTTAAGCCCATTGGCAGAGGCCAAGGAGAACAATTTTTTTCCCTGCTCCTTGTAACACCCTGTTAGATACTTAAAACCCTTAATCATGTCTCCTCTTGGTCTTCTCTTTTCCAAACGAAACAAGCCCAATTCCTTCAGCCTTACCTCATAGCTCATGTTTTCTAGATCTTTCTTCATTTTTGTTGCTCTTCTCTGGACCTTCTCCAATTTCTCCACATCTTTCCTGAAATGTGGTGCCCAGAACTGGACACAATACTCCAACTGAGGCCTAATCAGCACAGAGCAAAGCAGAAGACTGACTTCTTGTGTCTTGCTCACAACACCCCTGTTCATGCAGCCCAGAATCACGTCTGCTTTTTTTTGCAGCAGCATCACACTGCTGACTCAAATTTAACTTGTGATCTACTATGACCCCTGAATCCCTTTCTGCAGGACTCCTTCCTAGACAGTCGCTTCCCATTCTGTATGTGTAACGGATTGTTCCTCCCTAAGTGGAGCACTTTGCATTTGTCCTTATTAAACTTCGTCCTGTTTACCTCAGACCATTTCTCCAGTTTGTCCCGATCCTTTAGAATTTTGACTCAGTCCTCCAAGGCAGTTGCAGCTGCTCCCAGCTTGGGATCATCTGCAAATGTAATAATTGTGCTCTCTATGCCGATCTCAAAATTGTTGATGAAGATATTGAACAGAACTGGCCCCAAAACAGACCCCTGCAGAACCCCACTTGTTATGCCCTTCCAGCATGACTGTGAACCATTAATAACTACTCTCTGTGAATGGTTATCCAGCCAGTTTTGCACCCACTTTCCAGTAGCCCCATCTAGGTTGTATTTCTTTAGTTTATTGATAAGAAGATCATGCAAAACCATGTCAAATGCCTTACTAAAGTCTAGGTATACCACGTCCACAGCTTCTCCTGTATTCACAAGACTTGTTAGCCTATCAAAGAAAGCTATCAGATTCGTTTGACATGATTTGTTCTTTATAAATCCATTCTGGCTGTTATCTATCACCTTATTTTCTTCCAGTTGTGAGCAGAAGAATTCCTTAATTACTTGCTCCATTATCTTTCCTGGCACAGAAGTTAAACTGACTGGTCTGTAGTTTCCTGGGTTGTTCTTATTTCCCTTTTCATAGATGGGCACTAGATTTGCCCTTTTCCAGTCTTCTGAAATCTCTCCTGACTTGCGTGACTTTCAAAGATAATAGCTAAAGGCTCAGATACCTCCTCTATCAGCTCCTTGGGTATTCTAGGATGCATTTCATCAGGCCCTGGTGACTTGCAGGCATCTAACTTCTAAGTAATTTTTAACTTGTTCTTTTCCTATTTTAACTTCTAAACGTACTCCCTTTACACTAGCATTCACTATGTTAGGCATCCTGTCACCATCAGTCTTCTTGGTGAAAACCGAAACAAAGAAGTCATTAAGCACCTTTGCCATTTCTACATTTTCTGTTAGGCTGTGTCTAGACTGGCCAGTTTTTCCGGAAAATCAGCCGCTTTTCCGGAAAAACTTGCCAGCTGTCTACACTGGCCACTTGAATTTCCGCAAAAGCACTGACTTCCTCCTGTAAGAAATCAGTGCTTCTTGCGGAAATACTATGCTGCTTCCGTTCAGGCAAAAGTCCTTTTGCACAAAACTTTTGTGCAAATGGGCCAGTGTAGACAGCTCAGATTTGTTTTCCGCAAAAAAGCCCCCATCGCGAAAATGGCGATGGGGGCTTTTTTGCAGAAAAGCGTGTCTAGATTGTCACGGACGCTTTTTCGCAAAAAGTGCTTTTGCGGAAAAGCGTCCGTGCCAATCTAGACGCGCTTTTCCGAAAATGCTTTTAATGGAAAAACTTTTCCGTTAAAAGCATTTCCGGAAAATCATGCCAGTCTAGACGCAGCCTTATTGTTTTTCCTTCTTCATTGAGCAATGGGCTTCCCCTGTCCTTGGTCTTCCTCTTGCTTCTAATATATTTGTAGAATGTCATCTTGTTGCTCTTTATGTCTCTTGCTAGATTGAGCTCGTTTTGTGCCTTTGCCTTTCTAATCTTGCCCCTGCCTACTTGTGCGACTTGCTTATGTTCATCCTTTGTAACTGGAACTAGTGTCCACATTTTATACGACTTTTTATAAGATTTTTAGATCATGTAAGATCTCCTGGTTAAGCCAAGGCAGCTTCTTGCCAGACTTCCTATCTTTCCTAGGCAGTGGAATAGTTTGCTCTTAGGCCCTTAATAATGGCCTGACCCTCCCTCCACTTGCTGATACACACACAGAAATGCCTGATGCGCACACACACAGCTCAGATTGATGCCAACACTGGCATCCCGCCCACGATGCCCCCTACTGGGCAGTCTCTGCTGTGCCTTGACCCCCCCTGCTCACCAACCCAAGATGCCCTACTAAGCGCCTCCCCCCCTTGCAGGCATATTTGCCCCTCCCCCATGTCCGTCTCCTGTCTCAGACACAAGGGATGCCTTGGGGAGTGTCCCCTGTGCGCATGGGGTCCCCCCACCTGCCTGCTACTGACAGGGCTGCCGGCATCTCACAGGAATTTAACCCGGAGGAGTTTTACCACCTGCTGGAGGCAGCCGAGGATCACGCCAAAGAGGGACACCTGGTGAAGACGGATATTCCCCGGTACATCATCTGCCAGCTGGGGCTCACCCGCGACCCCTTCACAGGTAACCCCGGCAGGGGACCAGTGCCCGCGGCTGCCAGGCCTGTGCTAGCCGGCCTGGGGGGCTCTGGCTGCTGGTGTGTTTGCATGGCCCACGTAGGGGTGATGTATGTGGGGGGCATGTGCGCCTTAGCACGTGTGCGTCTGTGATCGCAGGCGAGTGTGTGACTGCACACATGGTAGCTTGCACCTCCATGTGTGTGTGTTATTGCACAGGGGCATATGCATTAACATGCACATGTGGGTGTTATTGCATGTGTGTGTCTGTGTGTGTTAGCATACATGTGTGTAAGATTGCATGTGGGTGTGTGATTGCATGTGTGCCAGTGTGCATGTGGTGTTACTACATGTGGGGATGACTGTGTGTTAACGTGCAAATGTGGGGATTACTGCACATGTGCATATGACTGCGTTAGCATGCAGAGGTGTGTGTTGCACATTGGTGTGTAACTACACGTGTGTTAGCATGCACATGTGTGTGTGTGTTGACTGCATGTATTAGCGTGCATTTGTGATGTTACTGCATGTGTATGACTGTATTAGCACATGTGTGGTATATGCAACATGTGTTAGCCATCATGTGTCTAAGATTGCCTGGAGGTGTGTGACTGCACATGTGATTGCATGTATGTGGGTGTGATGGCATGTGGGCGTGTATATGCCGTTAGCAGGCATGCATCTGGGCTTGCATTTCTGTGAATGCACGTGTATTTGAATTCACATGGGTGTGACTGTCAGTCTGCATGCCTCCGTGCCTTGGCACCTTTATGTCCACATGCATATGCATGTCCGCATGTGTATGCATGCTGTGTGTTTGCAGCTGTGTGTCGCATGCCTGTGTGACTGCGTGCATGTGTTTGGGGGTGTGCCCGTACGCCTGTGACTGTATATATGTTAGCATGCACACGCATGCACGTGCCAGCCTCTCTCTGTGACTGGGTGTGGACGGAGGCCCACGGCTGTGCATGCATGTGGCCACACAAGTCGTTCTTCCTGCACTTCCGTGGGTGCCAGTCTTGTTCCCTTGGGCTCCCGTGGCCCCTCTCCTCAGCCCATGTTTCCTCCCCAGACATGGTGCATCTGGAGGAACACGACAGCGGGGGATCCAACACGCCCGAGACAGACGAGTTCATGGAGGTAACTTCCCGCCCGGGCCGCAGACAGCACACACCATCAGGAGCCATGTGGGGAGGGCAGTGTAGCAGGGCGGGGCCTGGTGCCCCACAGCTCCGCATCTGAACGGATGGGGCCACAGTCATGTGGGAGACTTGCTGTGCTACTGCCCCCTACTAGAGGGGACTGGAGCAGCCCTGCTGTGTGCCCGAACCGCCCAGGTGGCACTGGGGGGCGGGGGGGGGTAGCATGGCAAAGAGCTTGGGTAGGTACGTCTGGCCCCACCTGGGGCATTCTGTTGATGCCCAAATGCTCCCCCCCCCAAGGTACCGACACACTACAGCGGCAATACAGCCACACTCCCACACAGTCACACAACACCCAGACTTGCTTATAGAGAAACACACTCAGACTGGCATGCAACAGTCACACACACCTAGAGAGACACAGCCCCAGACCAACATGCCCAACTCATCCCAGAGAGACACACACAGACAGACAACCCCGGAAACAGCACATACAACTCATCCAAGAGACCCCCCCCTCCCTGTCACACCCCCTCTGAACCAACCCTCACAACGACACGGTGCAACCCAGACACACACACAGGCCAGCCTGCACCACAGTCACACACAGCTAGAGAGAGACAACCCCAGAAATCCCCCTCACGGCCTGTCCTGGAAACACACACACTCCCTGCCATCACATAGCTCCAGAGGAACGACACCCCACCCTCCCGAACAACACTTGCTGAGACACACAGCTCCAGAATCAGTCCCCTCAGACACATATAGCTCGGCCCCAGAAGGAAACAACACACAAACACAGCCTGCAGACACACACCCCGGAAAGACACAGACTGATAAATAACATCCTCCCATGCAGACACACACACACTCAACCCCAGGAACAACACAACCCACTCCAGACACACACCCTGCAGAGCCACCTCCTTCAGAGAGACACAATACCTGGATCATAACAGTCTCCTCCCGTCACCCCCCACAGAGAGAGACAACCTGGGGAATAACACAAGCACCCCAGATACACAACCCCAGAAACAACTCTCCCCATAGACCCACTCCACCAGGGACCCCCAGCCTCACAGCAACATGTACAAACACAACCTCCGCACACACACACATACCCGTCCTGAGCCGAGGCTGGCCTGGCTGACGGTAGCCCATCATGGGAATGCCAGGCACCTAGTACTCTGCAAGGGAGAGAGGTCCAGTGGTTAGAGCAGGGAGCTGGTGGGCTCCAAGGGCTGACGTGGCGGGAATCTGGGGTTGCGGGCTCCCCTTTTCCCACCCCCACCCTCAGTGATGTATGTAATTTATTCCAGGGCCGAGGAGCCGCCCTGAAACACAAGAAACCGCCAGGAGAAGGGGACTTTGAAACCATCAAACTCATTAGCAATGGGGCCTATGGGTGAGAGAGTGTTGGGGGAGGGAGGTGAACTCTAGCCTGGGGCCCCTCCAGCGGCCGGGGCCTGCCCCCTTTGGAGGTGAGGGAAGACCTGAGAGATCTGGCTCCTCCCCTCACAGCCCCCTGGAAGAGAGCACCCCCAACCTTCCCCTGGGGGCGGGGAGAGAGCACTGGACTCCTGGTTCTCTCCCAACTCGGAGGCAGCAGTGACGCTGAGTGGTTAGAGGGGGCTGGGAGTCAGCCTGGGTTCTGGCCCCCCCGGAAGGGAGCGGTGAGAGCCGGGGGTGCAGACTGGAGCCGATCACTGCGCTGTTCCAGGGCCGTGTACTTGGTGCGGCACAAGGAGACCCGGCAGCGCTTCGCCATGAAGAGGATCAACAAGCAGAACCTGATCCTGCGGAACCAGATCCAGCAGGCCTTCGTGGAGCGCGACATCCTCACCTTCGCCGAGAACCCCTTCGTCGTCAGCATGTTCTGCTCCTTCGAGACCAAGCGCCACCTCTGCATGGTCATGGAGTATGTGGAAGGTACGGTGGGCACAGCCAAGGCTGGGCATGCTTGGGGTGAGGGCTGGGCGTGCCAAGGGGCAGGGTGGGATGGGCGTGCCAAGGGGCAGGGTGGGATGGGTGTGCCTGGAGCCAGGGGATGGGCATACCTGGGGGCAAGGGATGGGCGTGCCCAGGGGTGGGGGATGGGCGTGCCCGGGGGCAGGATGGGTGCCCCTGGAGCCAGGAGATGGGCAACCTGGGGCCAGGTGTGGGACAGGCACCCCCAGGGCTGGGCCCTCATTGGGCAGGGACATTGACGATGGCCCTGAAACTGGCTCCGCTGCCCATCCAGCACCATGGTGGGAGCAGCGTGTCCTGTCACAACATGATGGTGTTGTGTTGTGATGTGGCAGGACTTCCCACCAGTGTGTTGTGTTATAACTCAGCAGCACTGTGTTGTGACATGCCCCTTCTGCATAGCCACGAGGCAGGAGGTGGGTGGAGGGGCGTGGTAGGGTGGGGGGGCAGGGCAGGAAGAGCTGCGGCACAGCGGGGTGATGGCCGGCCACGGCAGCTGAGTTGTCGTGCTGATGCTGAATTGTCATGTGGGGAGGTCGGGTCGTGCACGGAGGGATGGGATGGGGTGACCCTGGGGCGTGACACAGCAGGTGGTCTAGGGAAGGGCAGCGTTGCATTTCGACAGGCTGGAGCTGTATTGCGATGAGGCGATGTGCTGGCAAGACGTGGCATGCAGGGGTGATGTCTGTTGTGGCAGAGGCTGTTTTAGCTACTCCTGGGGGAATCCTGCGCCGAGAAGCGAACAATTCTGTACACGCTATTTAAAATCCAGCCTATTTCATTTGTCAAAATAACAATCGAATACCACACTTTCAATTATTTTAGCCGTTAATTTCAAATACCTACTAGCGAGCGAGTGTGTCTGTGACAAGAGGCCATTCAAGAAACGTTTTTCGGCAAATAGCTTCCTTAGTTAGGCCTATTGGTACAGAATCGGGTTCTATGTTTGAACCAGATGTCCTTCCGCCTCCAGAAGCTGGGCAAAGGCTGGGGGGAGTCCGGGTAGTGGAGGAGCAGACGGAGAGAGAAGTAACTGCTGGGAAGGAGCCTGAGTGTGAACTTGCAGGGTCCTTCTCTCTGATCTTTTACCACCATGTGCAGAATAATTTTTATGTGCACCAAGGCATGTGTGAATGTGCACCACCAGCAGGAGAATCACATCCCTAGTGGGGGGGGGGGCTGCTCTGCTAATTAGCTGTGCGGCACTGGAATTTCTCCTGCATGGCCGCACAATGCTGGTTGTTGGGAAAAGTATGGAACAGGGATTTTTGGGGGGTGGGGTGGGGGCAGGGAGAGATTGTCGGGGAACTTCTCCCCGGCAGTCAGGCACATGGGTCCCTCCACCCGCACTCAGACTCCCCCAGCTGGCCCTGCATCTCCACTCCCATTCAGCCTGTCCTCCCCACCAGCCCTGCTGAGCCCCTGTCTGACCCCCAGCTGCCTGGGAAGAGGGCGGCTTTTTCTCTTCCCTCTGTCCTAGCACCACAGCGCCCTCTGCTGGGCAAAAGGCAGAACACCCGCAGCTCCCCAGGGCGTTACTCAGCTGAGGGTGTTGGGGCTGAACGCTCAGACTCCAAGCGAGGGTCGGGGGTGCAGTGCATCTCCCTGTGGGTTTGAGAATGGGGGGGTCTCCCTGGCTCCCCCGGCAGGTGGGGACTGCTCCAGGCTGTCGGGGCCCTGCCCGTGGAGTTGGCACGGATGTACTTCGCCGAGACCGTGCTGGCGCTGGAGTATCTGCACAACTACGGGATTGTCCACCGCGACCTCAAACCCGACAAGTACGGAGCCAGCGGGGTGGGGAGCAGGACGCTGGGCTCCTCTGCCCAGCTCTGGGAGGGGAAGGGGTCCTAGTGGTTAGAGTGGGAGGGGCCGGGAGTCCCGGGTTCTATTCTCAGCTCTGGGAGGGGAGTGGGGCCTAGTGGATAGAGCAGGGGCAGGGAGGGTGTGACGGCGCATTGGGGAGCTCCCCAAGCCTGCACCTCCTCTGCAGCAAGATGTGACTCCGCCAGCCAGTAGAATATGGAGGGTTTATTGCTTCTCAGAGACACAGCACAGCACAGCACAGGCGCAATGTGGACACAGGAGTGAGGGGCAGGCAGCCTCAGACCCCTTGGGGCAGGGGGACACAGGCCCCTGAACCCCCAGTACTCGGCTCAGTCTCTTCTCTTCGTGTTTGCCCAGCCAAAAACTGCCCCTTCACACAACCCACCCCCTTCCTTTGTTCCAAACCCTTCCCTGCTCAGGGGAGAACCGGTTGGGCCATTGTCTAGGTGACCGCTGGGCAGTGCTCACAGACGCGGGCCAGTAGGGGTCACCCACAGCCCACATAGAGCGACCAGTGACTGCCCGAATGGACAGCTCCCCCGCTACATCACAGCCCCGCCCTGCCGGTAACACTTATTCACACTGGGCTTATTAAGAAACTCCAGGAGGGGAGTGATGCTTAGTGGTTAGAATGGGAGGGGGGCTGGACTCCCAAATTCTGTTCCCCAAAAGAGGCAGCTCCTTCCATTGCTCATTCATTCTCCTCCCTCAGCCCCATCAGGGCCCCCCTTAAGTATGGGGCTGGGCCATGCGATAGAGCGATCTGGGGCCAGGAGGAGGTGGGGGCCTCAGCATCCTCTCAGGGGCTCCCTGTCGCTGTCCCCCCAGCCTGCTCATCACCTCCATGGGGCACATCAAGCTGACGGACTTCGGCCTCTCCAAGATGGGCCTGATGAGCCTCACGACCAACCTGTACGAGGGCCACATCGAGAAGGACGCTCGCGAGTTCCTGGACAAGCAGGTGGGGCCGCAGGGTGGGGAATGAGGGCCACGGGGGATGGGCTGCAATTGACAGGGCTCCCAGGGCCCTTACATCGAGAAGGACGCTCGCGAGTTCCTGGACAAGCAGGTGGGGCCGCAGGGTGGGGAATGAGGGCCACGGGGGATGGGCTGCAATTGACAGGGCTCCCAGGGCCCTTGAAGGGGGGCTCAGGCAGGGGATAAGCACTAGCCGGGGCTGATGG